TTTCTGGAGGAGCAGTGGAATGGAAGTGTAGGGCAGATAGGAATGGAGCAATTGTGACAGAATGGCAGAAGGAAGAAGCTGAAGTAGATGACATTCACATAGCAGTTCTGTTGGCTGTCAGAGGAGCTTTGGAGGAAGCTTCAAGCAGGAACTGGCAGAGAACTCAATGCAGCATTCCAGATGAACAGACTCTACTCTAACTTCTCTCTTACAGTGAGCTTCAATCTTCACTGTCAGGAGTGCTTTATGATATAATGCAGTTGTACAGTTCTTTTGATATTTGTAATTTTATTGCTGCTTTCTAGTTAAAACTGTGAACCCTTTGTGGTTGTCTAGGGCTTATTGTTGTGTATGTCCGTTTACTTACTTGTCTAGCTTGCTGGATTAGTTAGTGTGCACTCAGTTGATGTACGGATGAACTTCTCTTGAGTTAATATAATTATTTTCGTTGCAAAAAAAATAAAAAATAAAATAAAATAAAACTGCATAATGTGAAAATTATGAGTCGTGTTATTATAATATTCTAATAGTGTTAATGGCTCCGCTTTTACCACATGGAATGGAACTTTAACATACCGATAAATGTTGTTTTCTTTATTTCTGTTTTTTTTTTTATGAAATAATAACAAAAATCAACACAAAGTTGATGTTGATTAGTTTTGTGAGCAATCATAAGACTACTTTGGTTNTAATTATTTTATAAATACAATTACAAACTATAAATCATTATTAATTAATATTTTATTGTTAGATTATATTAATTTTAATTGTTATATTCATTTACAATTTCTAATAAAGTCATAAACTCCCTCAAACAAATTTAATCATTTTATTTTAAATATTGTTAGTACAAACTCAAAATATCACTCAAAACTAATTCAATTAGCTTTTTTAAAATTAACTTGTTTAACTAAAATAATTCAATCAAAACTCAAATTGATTTATATCAAGCAACCCCTAATTTTTGTAATAAATAGAGATAGTGCAAATGATGGTTTTATCCAATTAGAGCCAATGACAAGATGGTAATAACATCATGTGGAATAAAACGAAGAGAGGAAGTACGTTTTGTCTTTAAATTACTAATGTGTCCTGTAAAAAAAATATCATGATTCGCTTTTACTACTTTTAAATATGATTTTTGAGTGGGTAAGGAAGTGGAGACAAGCACGCATTGCTTCATGATCCCATTGCCAAATAAACACACAAAATTTTTACACTGGTCGTATCATGATTTTCGGTCTTAAAATAAATTTCAAACTTTTTGACAATTTAATTGGCACAACTTCTAATTGAGTAATTGGTTCATCTATAGAAGATATTTAGTGAGTGCGTAAAATTTGTGATATTAATGATGAGGAGGATATCACTTGTGTGAACTTCTTTTTCAAACCACAACGCCTCACACAATATGAATACATATATGAGATCATAAGAATGATGCATAAAAAAATAAATAAGAATAAATTTGTATTATTGAATCCATTACATCAATAAATATTATTAAGCCAAAATTTAGTAACTTAGGGTCAAATACTCGGTGATAATTTTGTAAATAAGTTGTCATATATTGGTCAACTAGTACAACGTCCGTGTACTACACGGGTGTTTTATAAAAAATTATATGTTCAACAAAAAGTGAAAAATAAAATTCTTATTGAGATTTAAAAAACTATAAATAATTAATAAAAAAAATTTAATATTATTTTGAATTCTATAAAATATTTTTATGAAGCACTATTTATTTTATTTAATATATATTTATTTTTGTCAAAATTAAATAGATTAATTAATTTATTCGACAGTCAATAACACCCGTGAATATCACGGACGCTTGAAAGTTAAATATTTGTATCAAAATAAAGAAGTGAAGAAATATATATTCTTATAATAGAATAAATCAGATATACAACTAATAATAACTAGAAAAATAACAAAAATAATTATTTAAAATAATACTCTTATTTTATACTCAAATTGTTAAAATGATAATTTTCTTAACTACACAAACACACACACACATATATTTAATTTTGAATTTTTTTTTCAAGTTTGATTATATTGTAATTATACTTTATATTTATACAATTTTTTTCCCTTACAAAATATTTTTCAAAATATCTTTAACTTTATGATGTTCAACAATTTAAAATATAATGTGTATGAGTGTAATATTTTAAACGTTATGAAATAAAAAACTTATTTTTATTATTTTAATTATATTGTTTATTTACTTTTTTTTTTCACGATCATAATGTTTCTGTGTAGTCTTTATTTAAGTTGAGACATAAACATTTAGAATCTTTTTTATACTAATTTGATGTTCATACTTAGTTTATTTATTTATTTTTAATCAAAATAGTTGTATTATAGTATGTTAATACACATAAATTTTTATTTCTTTATAAGATAAAATATAATTATTTTTTATATATTTTAATCTAGTTTGATTAATAATTTTAGATTTTATTTATAAGACTATATATCATTGTTTTATATTTTTTATATATAATATGGATGTCAAATTGAAGATCGTTAAAGATAAATAATTTGATATATCACATATAAAAATAAAATACAAACCAAAAAAGTTATAAAATTTTAAAAATAATAAGAATAAACATTAATAAGACCATGTCCAACCCTGCGCCACTTTACATATTTTACGCCAGAGTCAAGAAAAAGTAATCTCTAACGCTGCGCTGAGTTCTCACGCCACAATAGAGAAATATACAGTGCTTCGCCAGTTCTAGCGCAGCACTGTTCATGCGCCATATTATTTTTCTTTCTTTTTTTATATATATTTTATGTAATACTTAATGTAATTTTTATGCTTTTTGTATCTTATATATATAGNGGATATAAATTAATATTTGTATTAATTGTATTTTAATATCATTTCCTATTATAACCATTGAATTGCAAATATATTTTAAAAGCTGATAACTTTTTGTATTTTTTATCGGTTTTACATATATAATATATCAAATTAATCATCTTTTGATGAGCTTCGATTTGACATCCATATTGTATATATAAAATAAATAAATTATATTTATCTTTATAATAATAATAAAATTATTTATTAAAATTAATTAGAAAATAAAATTATTTATCAATTAATATATTTATGTTTAATGTAGTTATATGTTATAAGGTAGAAAATTTATTATAATATAACACATATAAGTCGCACAATTAACATGTATCATACTAAAATATAATAATATATACTCCCTCCTATTTTTTATTATTTATCATTTTGGCTTAATTGATCATTGATAAAATAAATGTCGTTTTAGATATTTTGGTCATATTTTTTCATTTTTAGCCCTCCATATAATACACAGTGTCTCTTCATATCCCACCTCCATCGTTTCCCATAACATCCATTAAATAGGGTTAATATTGTCAAGAAAAAAAATTCTTAATTAGTTTGTTGCATTTGAATTGATATTATGAAGTCCGTTTGTATTTTACTATATATATATATATATATAATACAATACAGTAATATATATCCTTATAAATAAAATTTAAATTTATTTATCAAACTAAATTAAATTATATCAAATAAAACTATAAATTATACTATAAAGTAATAAAAGTTGGTATGTATTCTTTTAAAAATGATATTTATTTCAAATCTAATTAATATGTTGTCAATGTAATCAAAATAAATAATTAGTTATCTAAATTCTAAAATTACATATAAAGTTAAAAAACTGTGAAGCACGACTAATACGACACTTAATGTATTAGGCATCTAATTAAGTAAAAAGATTACTCTATTTTGCTTAATATTAAATAAACATATTCTACACTTATGCATATACATATCACCATATTATTTCTATTTATTTAAGATATATATTTTTCTACTTATGTAATAGTAAATAATATCGATATTTTTATATGATATAAATAAAAAAATTCAACACGGGTTGACATTTTCATTTAATGTACGAGTGTTTAATCATTATGATTTAAAAAAATATAATTTGACAATTTAATTAAAACCCAAAGTAATATTTTATATAAAATTAAATTATTTTAGTTTTAAAAAAAATAAAAAATTTAATATTTTTACAAAAGCTTTCTAATTCAACACGCGTATAATACACGGGTATTGCACTAGTATATATATAGAAAACAAAAAGCTTAAAAATTATTACCAAAAATCTTTAAAAATTATTACCTTAAAACACCTATATATATTATATATATTATGCATTTTAATGTAATACTTAATGTAATTTTTATGTATTAATTTATTTTCTTTCCTTTTAAGATCTATTTTACTATATTATTTTGATAAAATATATACTAATAAAAATATGCAATAATACAATATTATTAGAATTTTTTATATAGATTATTGGTAAATGACAATAATACAATAGCATTAGAATTTTTTATATAGATTATTGATAAATCTTTTTTATAGTGTGTATCGATTTTTGAACTAAGATATATAATATTAATGTATAGGATTTAAATTATCAATATTAGCTATATAGTATTTTTATATTTCTAGACATGGTTTTAAATATTCTAGACATGATTTTAGAATTTATATAAGATTATAAAAAATTATATAAGATTAAATATACATATATATTAGAATTTATTTGAAATAAAAAAAACCATAATATATATAATGCAAAGTAAAATGTACCGCAACTGACTAGAGATGAAATAATATATAAATATACATATATATATACCAATTTATTTGAAATAAAAAGATTTAATATGAATGATATAGACATTAAATGAAATCCAAACCTACTTATTTTGTATAAAAATATTAATTTATATCCAAGTCTGACTCCGAAACACGATATTTTGCCACATAGGATTCCAAAGCGTGAGAGTGTGCCACTTAGACTCCACGCATTATGCAATTATATATAAGGTGGATTGTATATCTCTAGGGGTAGTTGTATAATTTCAACTTTATACCATATATTGGTCACAACAGATCGGGTTTGAGGTCTCTATTGGGGAGACGTCATGGCAATGGCGATCACATAGGTTTGGTGGGCGATAATATCAGCATTACAAGTGAGTTTTTTCGTAGATTTATAATGGTGCAGATTGTGAGCGAGATCTTTGAACATTATTTTCACGCAGAAGGTCTCTTGTAGTTCACTATATTTAAAGTTTCGGGTAAAAGTGAAGGCGTGTGAAGAACATATGGTCAAATTTTCAGTTAATGAGCATGAATCCGCATTCGAAGACGGCATGTAATAGTATATCAAGCATTCGGAGAAGAAGAGTCGACTGTCAGAGGGTTATTTCGTCGGCCGGCGGCGTGCGGCGAAGATGGTGACCTGCGGTGGGGCTAGTGTCAGTGTTATATACTGAAAGCTTGGCTTTGCATGCTATTACACATTTACCCATTATGAATGAGAATCATGTTAGATTAAACAAGTTCTACGTTCTGTTGTTCTGCACTTAGATAGGGTGGGTCATCATCGGGCGAACCGAAGATCACTCTATCAGTCACTTGCAAACAAGAATAGTTGTTCATAACCTAGATGGACATGAACACCCCATCCGAACGGTTGTAGTGTCAACTGTACAGTTTGTCTTGACTGATTAGTTGCACGAGTACATTTATGTATTGAACAGGATCACAGAGAGGAGAAGTTCATTTTATACTGATCGTCGTAAATGAACTAGGCCTCGGTTAATTACTGCGTTCTCTTAACCCGTAAGATATTAAACAGGCAGATATATATTATAATATATATTACTTTGATTCACATGGGTGAGGTTCAGTTCGCTGGATTAATATTCCTACTGTTTTGGGTAATATTATTATATATGGGATGTGTTGTTAGGATATTTACGGTCACCATGTCCGTTAGTTTGATGATGTCCTCGAACCCTGTAGGTGGATTAAGTTCCAGCATAATAAGAATATGATGAACGAGCGCTAGCTTCGGTGAAATAATAATAAATTAATTAATTCTTGATTGTCAGTAATCGAATTAATTAATGAACATTATATCTTAAACGTGGGGAGGTAAATCGAGTAATTATTATTGGAGGGCTAGGAAAAAAGAAGTGCAATAATATAATGTTGGTGGCCCATTAATATTATTTAATTAATTAGAGGAGTGAGCTTGACCCACAGTTAGTCTAATTAATTAAGGAGTCATTTTCCTAATCTCCTAAGGGTCCCTACTATAGCTCTATATATACATCCTTAAGCTCATGAGAAGAGAAGAGATCGATCATACGCCCCACGCCTCTCTCTCTCTAGATCTCATTGGAGCTTTATCTTCTTCTTGTTGCTCCACTGGTACAAGTTGAAGAAGGGTGTATTGAGTAATACAGTAGAAGATCTGTAGGTAAACCGAGACGAAATATATTTTGACCTACAGAACTAACCAGAAGTCAGATTGAGACGTACAGCATACCCAGACGACCGTCTTGACGAGAGCTTCCCATCGCCACCGAGATCACAGCCGTCCGACGCCTCACGCGCCCTCACGCGCCGCCGGAAGCTCCCAGGCTGCAAGTTTTGTTTCGATCTGTTTGCATCCGTTTGATCCGATTTTGATCTGATCTTGTTCGTGCAACCCAAGACGTGTTTTGCGGTCAATCAATTGCGGTCAACCGTTCGTGGTCAACCAGATCTACATAAATTTTAAGCCGTAAGTTCTCTACGTCAAACCTTTAGATCCGCTGCGCATAGGTTTACGTTTGCTATTGAATTCGTAACTTGTACATAACGAGATCCTCGCAGATCCCAACAGCTAGTTACTGTGGGAGGCTGGAAACGTGGCTAGCGGCGGTGCGGCAAAAGCTGGTGGGAGGAATCAGTTATCGTTGGAACACTGCGTGTGTGTGCTCCGACGACTACGTGAGTTTTTTATTTTTCTTTTCTTTTTTTCCGACGGCTGCGTGAGTTTATTGTGTGTTATGGTGTTATTGTGTGAAAGAGATATGGGGTGAGTTTGTGTGGGGTCCACACATGAGTTGTAATTTTTGTGATGACCAATATACCCTTACTTTGTAGTCAATTCCACATATTTGACCACGAAATTTCCAAGTATTTACCATAATGCTATTACATGTTTGACTGACATTATTAAAGTTTATCTTCTTCATGACCATTAACTTGATGGATTTAATGATCCAGATTCATTCTTATTTCTTTCACTATATCCCTTTTCTCGTATGATCCCACTTCTATGTATATATATATTTATATATATATATATATAATATATAAATATTATATTTTAGATTATGACATTTATATGCATATATTGAAAAAAATATAAATATCTAGCCACTAAACTTGCACAATCTTAGTGGAAATTGAAAATTCGGCATAAAGATTACATAATGACAAGAGGACTATAAACTAGTGTTCATCCTGTGTACATGTACAAAGAAAAATAAAACTGTATATATAGTATATGTATATACAATATATAAAATTTTATATTAGATAATGAATGTATTACATATTAAATTTTGACTATATGCAAATGTGTAATGTAAATATAAATTATTTAACTTACGTATGAATCTTTATTGATGCCATAAATTTTAATGGACAATATAATTTAGTAATTTAGAGAGACCATACTATTAATAAGTTAGAAAAATATTACAATTATTTTTATTATTGTTATAGCAATTGTTTATGTAATTTTAAGGTGTTTAATTATGACACTCATGCCAATTAACTAATATTAGATAAAAATCGCTTAAAAAGACAAAAAATATTTTATCTTAGAAAAAGTAATTTAAAGGAAAAAAATTGCAATACTGTTTAATGTAAAATTATAATCAATTAGTGTTAGTAGTAATATAATATAATAAATTAGTTCAAAATTGTTATTACACTTTATTAATGTAAAATGTAATGTTTATACATTAATTGAAAAAATGAGCGAAAAATTATGAAGATTTTATTAATTAAGTTTTATTTATTGCTCTGTTAGCAATTATATATATATAGGGTCGCGCTCCGGTGAGAATGGTGCTTAATGAAAGAAATGAGAATAAATTGTAGTCATTAGATCGGATGATCTAATGGCTAAAAATATACCCCCTCCTATTCATAATAAGTGTCATTTTGGGAAGTTGCACACTAATTAAGAATAATTCTTTTGCCAATAATAACCCTCATTAATGAAGATAGAGATGGATGTTTTAAACAAAAGATGAAGAGAATATGAAAAGATGTAGTGTATTTATTAACTAAATGAGGGTAATAATGGAAAAATATGTACAAAAGATCCAAAACGACATTTATTTTGGTTAATAGTTGAAAAAGTCAAAATGACATTTAAAAAGAATAGGAGGTGGTACTTATTTTTTACACTCATTAAGGGTATATTAGTAATTACAGCATAAACAAACAATTAATAGTATGTGGGCCCCACCATAAATCAAGCAACACACTTCCAACAAATCTCATTCAATTTTCAATCCCCAACAAATCTCATTCAATTAATTTGCACGTCTCTCTCTCTCTCTCTCTCTCTCTCTCTCTCACACACACACACACACACACACACACGATCTAACACACACAGTCACACACATTCGGAAATTGAACATCTTCATTTCAGTACAGCCACCGCCGCGCCGCCGCTAACATCCTGTTTGCCGGAGCATCCCGCCACCGTCGGAGTCTCGCTCACACACCGCCGTCGGAGCATCGTCGTCGCCGCAAGCAGCCTCCGCACAGAATATCTCCTCATCGTCCATCGCCTGTGCCGTCCCTCGTTGTCCGCGCCTCGATACCCGCCGGAATCGTGTTTGCCCGACAGCCTATGCGCCGCCACACAGTTCACGACGGGGACATCATGAAGCTGCCGCCGTCGATGGCCTCCAACTGAAAACGACAGTGTCGCCGCCGAGCGAGAACGGTCGCCGCCTCTGCCTATATTTCTCTGCATCCGTCAGTCGCTGCTGCTCGAAGACATATCGAGACGCCACCGTATCACAGGTCCCGTCTGTGCGACTCGTCGGTGCGCCGTCGCCGGGAAAAAAACCAGCACACACCAGTTTCCCGTGATGCCTAAATCTCGCCGCTGCCACCGTTCAAAAGCCCTCTGCTATCTTCTGTATCCCGTCGCCACCGCGTCTCTCCGTTCAATAGACCGGCGGGAAGATTTTTGAAGAGATCTCTCATGGACCGTGAATTTGGGATTGGGGGCTTCAAGTTAGAAATTTAGATAATGCATAGGGACTAAGTTGCAATTTTAACAGTTTTAAGATTTTGCAATTTAGGCATTTGTGTAAATCTGTAATATTTTAAAAGTTTGATACTTATTCGNCAACATTTAAAGTTGCATAAGCATTTATTTCAAATTAGGGATTTAGAATTTCATTGATTTTTTTTTTCAGTAATGCACTTCATATATCAACACGTTGCACTTTATAAAAAAACATGTTGCACTTTATAAAACACCATATAGCGTTTTATCACCACACACCACAATTAACGTAAAATAACTCCCGACAAAATACACACAACATAAATCTTAAAAAATATTATACATGATACTTTAACATAAATCTCATCATTTATCCACACAAAACATAAGCGTGCTAACGTACAAAAATCACAGTAACTCGTTTTATACATCATCACGTTGCACTTTATAAAGAAATACGCTGCACTTTATCACGACTGTCAGAGTGCACAATAGAGAAGAAAATCATCCGAACACATATTCTTTCAACAAAAATAATATAAAAATAATAAGCAAAATTATTAGAATATTGAAAATAATTTTAATATAAGTAACAAATCATTTCGATTATTTAGGATATTTTGGTTAACCGAATCAAATAAACCAATTAAATATGTTCGTTTTCAATTTGACTATGAGATTGCACTTTATAAAACAAAACATTGCAGTTTATTAAACAATATGTTGCACATTATCACCACGCTCCACAATTAACGTCAATAGCTCCCGACAAAATATCACACAACGTAAATATAAAAAACGGATATATATAATACTTTAACATTAATCACATCATCCACAGAAAATACAAATACGTTAACGTACCAAAATCACAGTAGTTCACTTTATACATCAATACTCTGCATTTTATAAGACAACGCGTTGCACTTTACAGAACAACAAGCTGCACAATATCACGACTATTAGATTGTACAAAATATATCAGAACCGACAAAGTCAATTTTTTTCAACATAAAATAATATTAAAATGATAAATAAAATCATTAACATATTAAATCTAATTATCATATACAGAAAAAAAAATAAAAAAATAAAAAAATAAACCATTTTGATTTTTTCGGATAATTTGGTTAACCGAGCCAAATAAACAAATTAATTGTGCTCACTTTTATTTTGGTGTAGAACAAGTTCGGTCGGTTCAATCTGTAGACCGACACCGTGCACCTTAGTGTTGGACGAATTACACATCAATAGCTGATAGATTACACATTACATGTCGTTTATATATATACTATTTTTAAATGAAAAAATAACATATAATATTAAATAAAAAATATGAATGACTGAACATGTTTTTAGAATAAATAATATAATTTATTTTGATTATTTTGGCTATTTACGTTAACCGATTATATCAAAATTTTCAGTTCGAAATTATAATTTTTATTTTGATTATATGTTTTTACTTTTAAAGCGCATATCTATATACAATTATTGTGAATCGAAAAAATTTTGCGCATTTATAATATTTTTAATAATTTTGTACACATATAACATTATTTTTTAAAGTGCACATTTAGACACAATAATATTGTACATCTAATGTGCAATTATTGTCCATAAATTAATCTTTATTAAATAATAAACTGCCATTAGGTAATAAAATATACATCATAGTTTTTAAACCCGGCCCGGTGATCGACCCGGGCAGGTCATCGGGTCACCGAGTCACCGGTTCAACCGTCGGGTCACCGGATCAATTGCTGAACCGGATAATTAATTTTAAAATTTTTAAAATTATATATAAAGTATTTCTGTTATATAAATATACATAAAAGTAACAAAATTATATGTTTTGTGTATAAAATTTGTATATTAAAGTGTTAATAATATGTATCTCATGATAAATATTTACCATATAAACATATATACATATTTTTATTTTTAAAAAATAAAAAAAATAAAAAAATATAAAAAATATATATGGACCGGGTCAACCGGGTTTGACCCGGCCGGGTCACTGCCCCGGGTCGGCCGGGTCGGCCGGGTTTGACCGGGTCCTTGGTTGCCCGGTCCATATACTCCACCCGGACCGGTTCCGGCTCCGGCTCCGGCTCCGGGTCGACCGGGTCCCGGGTCGACCCGTCGGGCCGGTCCGGGTCTCAAAACAGTGATATACATACATTAAAAGTTCAAACAATTGCAAAACAGTCCCCTAAATATATTTAATTCTCAAAACTTAAACCCATCCAAAACAATGAAACACCATACTCTACTCTGCCCAAATTCGCCACATCTCAGCCCCAAATTCGCTAAATCTCAGCCTCAATTTCTCCTCAACCAACACCTAGCCATCAATGTCGCCGTCATCCCACCCCAACAGCCGCCGTCCCCCTCCATGAGTCAGCCTTATCCTCCACCTCATAGGGCTCCTCACTGGAGCTTCTTGAGGAGAAAGAGATGGGAGAGGCGACGGTGGACGTCGGCTTTGCAAGAGCACCGCCCATTCAGATCGGAGCGGCGGCCGAAGGGCGACGTCGGGAACTGCAACCACTATGAAGGCCCGGATGGAGGCATGGCGGAGGCACGCACGGCGGCATGGCGGAGGCACGCTTGGATCCACGGCGGATGCACTATCGGAGCAATCTCCTGAATCTCGGTAATCTCAGGCGGGCGGTGGAGAAATGGCGGAGACACGCCGGAGATATGGCGGAGATCGACGGAGCTATGACTGAAGCCGCTGAAGGCCGACGAAGGTACGACTGACGCCGGCGGAGACACGATGGCGATCTCTGGCGGATTGGGCCTCTGTGTGTGTTTTTGTGTGTGTGTGTGTGTGTGTGTGTGTTTGTGTGCGTATATGTATTGTGTGTTTTGTGTGTGTTTGTGTGGTACATAAATATTAGGGTTGGAGGTTGGTGTGTAATGACTGGTTTGCCCTTATTGAGTAGTCAAATATGAATATTTGACCATAATATGTATGTTAATTTACCATATTGCCATTAATGATTGATCAAATTTGACTTGATCATGACCATTGATATGTTGGATCCAATGATTCAGACTCATTCTCATTTCTCGCATTAAGAGTCATTCTCATATGATCCTTTATATATATATATATATATATATATATATATATATATATATATATATATAGATTTGCCGCGCATACCAATAGGCAATAGGATATTCTAAAAAATAACATTTGCTTTACTTGTTTACTAGTACATACCCCGTGCGATGTACGAAAAATGGATATTAAATGAGTTATTTTCATAGGCAGTTAAGTTTAAAAAGCAATAGAGTTATCATCTATTTCCCACCGCTTTTAAGTCGAAAAAATAATAGGGTTATAATCCATTTTTCACTTCTTTTAGTCAACATTACTTTTTAGTCAGAATATTATATATGAGCATGTTAGGGTTAACTTGTAAAATAATTAATATATTATCTCACTAACACATTTATACTAATATAAATTTAATTTTATATATATATACTCCTTAGAATAAGAGAAAAATAACAGTTTTACTTATTATTGTTCACCATATAATACTTAACTATTATTTTATTATAAACTTTGTTGTCATATAATGTCATTATTATTTATAAAAGTTATAGAAGTTGTACGTCTTTTTTTTTCTTTTTATTTTATGTAATGAAAAATATTCAATGCACGTGAGTATTATTTATTTATATAATCAATTTAAAATATGTAAACAAATTTAAAATTAAATAGTACGTAAATATTTTACAAAATCTACATAGATGTTTTTTCAGAATTTAATTTTGTATACTAATCACACAATTTTGATTTAGCAAATGCCAAAAACTCAATCCCTTCAATAATCAAGATTTTTCTAATTTGCGGATTTATAGTTTATTTAACATACTCTGCAATGAAAATATATTTCACAAGAATTTCATTGTATAAAGAAATCAAAATAAATAAATGATGAAAAAATAATAATCATGGTTGCCAATAATATACAAATAAATTCTAGAACATGTAATATATTTTAATCTTGTAATTTATTATAATGAATATTAATGAAATTATTGAAAATATTAATAAAATTATTTACGAAAATGATATTTTTAATCATATATGATTTGATCTTATCTGAAAATGTGTATATGGAAGCAATTAATGTATATATTTAAAAAGATTACAAAAAAAGATATGCATGAAATACTTTTAAAATTTTTTACCACTATTTTAAGTAAATAGTTAATCTTATTATATATATATAGATTTGTTGAAAAGACCGTTCTATTTTGAAAATAAAATAAAATAAGTACATATAATTTCCAAAAATTGTCCTGCTACTAACGGATCACAGTTTTTTGTATATATTATATTCAATGCATTATATCCAATGTATTGAAGACTTTGACATTTTCCCCACCTTTTAAAAGTCAGCGATATTATTTTCTATGATATTTACCCATCCATATCAACTTTTCACCATGGTGGAGTTTAACAACTAAACCAGTTGATAATACTATATATAACTAGCATTTGGAGAGGTCAAAATATAGTTATAGTTCAAGAAGTCACTTTAGGAACTATGAGTGGTCAAAATTGTTAATAGTTTTTAAGAAGTTAAAGGACAAGTCTCTGTAGTTAAAAAGCCTTTAAAATAAATATTGGGTTACTTCCAATAACCATTTTTATGGTGCTTAGTAAAAGTTCAAATAAGGTCATGATAGTTAATTAGCCACCTATTTATTAG